CTGGGCGCCGGGCGGGCGGGGGGGCCCGGGCCAACGTGACGCGCCTCCAGCGCAGCCAGGGACCCGCGCGATGCGGCGCCCGCGGGGCCGGATCCAAGCGGCTCAGGGGCCGGGCCGGCGGCCTCTTCTCCAGTCGCCCCGGCAGCCCACTTCGTGGCTGGGGGGGGGGGGGGGGGGATGAACGCTTCTGATCCTTGTCGGGAGCAAAGCGAGTAGCTGGTGAGACCGGCCTGAAGTTCTCGTGGTGGTAAAACTTCCTACCAGTGCCTCCCCCGGCTAGGTCTGAATAACGTTATAGCAGCGGCCCCCAGGAATGGCTGGGCCATTCTTTTTATATATATATAAAAAGAAACCCTGCATATTCCTGGGGGCATATTCTTATAAGAATATAGAACATGTATTTATATTATAAATAGTATATGTAACATGTTTATAATGTATGATAAATACATGCTATATTATAAATACATGTTATGTATAATTCATAAAATATATACATAACTTTATATAGAGATCTATATAGGTAGATATTGTGTGTGTGTGTGTGTGTATATATATGTATATAGCAAAGGCACTTTCCCCAGCACAGGCCCCCTGCCTCCCTGATATGTATCATGTCATGGCAGGAAGTAAGTCGTTAGTTGCCTGCTGCCTTTCAACTATGGAAATAAGAATTCTTTGTGTCTAGGGAGCCTGGCCTTCGAATGTTGTCCTTGAAGGCCAGGCTCCATAAGCACAAAGAATTTTTATTTCTGTAGTTGGAAGGCAGCGGGTGACTAACTTGTTGCCAAGCCTTCTAGGCCCACAGTGCAGTGTTTGATTAGCATGTGGAATCTAATGCTCAGTTTGTGGTACCCATGCCTATATTGTGCTGTGGGTATTTGCCAGGCATCTGGGCTTTGCTGGTTGACCCTACCCCCCTTCCTATTTTTGCTTTTTGCATCACAGTGTTTCTGAGCCTTCCTCAGAGGCACTGGGTGTTGGCTATAGCCAAGGGTGGGGACTTTGCCTGGGGCATGCGAATGCTTCTGCTGGGACCAAAGCTGGAGGTTTCTTTGCTAGAGGTTCTTCTTGCCCCACTGCTCAGTGCAAGATACTCAACATATTTGGGGACAGGAAGGGATTTTACTGCATAGTCAAACTGGTACAGACTGTGGGGGGCGTTTGCCTTGCTCTGCAGTGGAAGTTGTGGCCCACTACCCATGAACTCTTGAGCAGGTGTCGACACCTTTTCATAGAAGCAAGATGTTGGCTTCCTTGGTTCCCTTGATTTACCAGTGACAGGTCAGGGTGTTTGGTCTGTGTTGTCAGGGTTGACCATAGCCTGATGGAGAGTTTAGGTCATGGATCGTATCAGATGGTTTGGATGGGGATGATCTTGCCTCAGGCAGGGTGGTTGGACTAGATGAACTCTGGAGCTCCTTTCCAGCCCTACTTTTCTATGACTCCATTGCGGTGGAATTCATTTGGCCTTTTCCCACTCTTCACTAGTGGAAGTTACCTTTTTCAAGTCTGATTCTGATCTCACTAATGCTGTCCAGAACATGGACATCAGAAGTAACACTGCTGACTGAAAACAGTGCAAAGCAGAATGTGGTCTAATATATCAAGCAGATACAGTACACAGATGGTTTGTTCTTGTTATGTTACCATTTATTTGTTAAATGATTTCCCCCATGTATAAAATAATTGCATCTAAATATTTTCCTTAATACATATAGGTAAGTTACTGCCCAGTGCAATATGTTATGCTGAATTTTGTGATTTCTTTTTTGTTTTTTGATTTTTTTTTAACACAGTAACTTAGGACTGAAAGGACTACCTGAGCCGTTCAGTCCAGTTGCCTGAAGCATGGACCAAAAGTCATTCCACCTGCCCTAGTCCACCAGTTACGTTCCTTACTGAATCCCCTAAGATTTAGTGAAGAAGATATTACTGATGGTGACCCTAAGTACAAGTGTGAATGTGCAGGAATGGAAGTAGGGGATCAAAGTAGTGGGGAAAATGTACGCAGAGTTTGCAGGCAAAGGAAACTAAGAAGAAAGGACAGTAGTTGGAGTAAGTTTGTTGAAAATGAGCCAATGGAGAAGGTAAGGGGGAAGGAAGAAGAAAAGTGCGGAGTGACTTTAAACGGGAAGGCATATTTATATTTGCTTCCCTTCTAAGGAAGTACAAACTGAATCTGCTAAAGCTCACTTATTTGTAACTTTAACTAATATACCTTTTTCTGCTCAAAATCAGGTACACTCTTGGGGTTTCTGGAAGGTTGCTGGTACACCCTTCAGTGTCTGAATGTAAGCATCCCTGATTTACATGCCCATGTAAGAGATGCTGAAGATGTGGGAAATGCATATCGATGGCTGTAGCTCTGCCAAGACTCTTGCACAGAGCCCAATCAAAATATTTCATAATAACCCAAACAGTAGTGTGCTTAACCTGATGTCTTATGGAGAAGATTTTATGAGTATTGCTAACCAGAGGGAATTGGTTAGAAGAGAGAACCTGGCTTGGGTCATGCACATGCTAGGTAGTGACTCTATTCTGGGGAGTGAATGCTAAATCCAGATTTAATTCACTTTTGTTTGCTTTGTAAGTAAAATTTGAACCTATTTGAAGCCTAGTGCTTGACACACTTTCTGAATGGGCAGTATATCTCATCTAGGTACTAGGCTATCCATTCAGAGCTAGATCGTAGTGACACTACTAAGTGGCAGTAGCAGCAAACCTAATGAAATATCAGGATAAATTATTTTATTAAAAAAAAAAAACAAATCCACACTCCCAAGGCCTGGGTAAATTTCTGGCCTTTGTTGATTTTAATTTTGCCTACATATAATCTAGTGCAATAAATTTGTGTATGAAGGTGATATTTGAGTGCCTGCATGCTCTTTTTAAAAACGTTTTCAACCTTGCATCCAGTTGTTAGTAAGTGAGGAACTATGTGTTCGTTTTTTGTGTGGCCTGTGGAGTATTAACGTGCAACTGAGTATTTTTCCATAGGGGTTAAGAGAACTAGCACAACTAAATCTAGTTGGACTTTTATATGTTTCAGAAGCTATTTTTTTAGAGATGCCAAGTGCTGTTGGCTCCAACTGATTTTAGGCCCTTCACTTGATCCGTGTAGCTCTCCTCTTTTCCTGCCCTTACCAAATTACTATCTTTGTGTGCACTATAATGTTCAACATGAAAACATAGCTATTAGACTAGACATTATTGATTACTGAGTCTAACAAAGACACTTTAATTGAGAGCTCAACTCCTATGAGAGTTTATTTTCTCTTTATAAGGAACTAAAATGGAATTAGTCTCATTTGTCTTTGACTTGGGTTCCTTCATTGCACTGTTGACCAAAGTTTGGTCTGCTGAGCAGTAAATTGTTTTTAATGTGACAAAAATATGTGGTTCCTTCCATTGCCCCACACGTGCAGAAACCCTTTTTCGGACTTGACTGCCTTGCAAAATTTGTTTTCCTTTTTACTTCAAAAAAAAAAGTTCCAAGAGTTTGTATTAAAAAATAATGTTATTTACTTGCTAAACTGCTCTTGAGAAATGCTGACCCCCTGCTGTTCTAATTGACATGTAGTCGGTGTGACTACTTTCAGGAATAAGAGTTTGCAAGATTAGACAGTAAGTCAGGACTGTTTGAAAAATAACATACTGAACATGTCCAGAGTGTCCCGTACCTGAATAGGTTGTAAAATCTCTGGGGATGATCTGGCTGAAACATACTTAGCATAATGCTATACCTCATGTAATCATTTACAGCAGTGTAAACTGGTTATACAGTTGCTCCCAAAACCAGAACAAATAACAGCAAAGATATCCTGCTGTCATTAATCTTATTCTGTACAGCTCTCAGCATAATTGGGATCCCAACCTAATTGTGGTTATTGGAATACAGTAATAATAAAATACATCAACAAACAGGGATCGGAGTGTTGACATATAAATATGCTCACATTGGTATAATGATATCTTTGTGTATTTTGTTGTCTGATTGTTAAACATATGAGCAAGGTAAAATAGAAAGCATTTAACTTCAGTTATGTAATTATTTTATGGACAAGAAAAAAGAGACAACTGATATCTTATACTTAAGTCAGTAATTTCTAAAAAAAATAAATTAGTACATTATTGGCATAGTTTGTTGTTCATATAGTCTGTTATTTCCTTGTTTGCATTTTCTCTTTGTAAAATGGTACGTGATGTTAATATTTCTGATGGACAGAAGAATTTAAGAGATGCTACATATGGGCAAATTAACGTTGACACTTTATCTCCACTTTAAGCTTGTTATCATGTTATACTTCTTACTTATGTTCATAGTGTGCATATTAGCAGAATCAGCAGCTGATATGCCACTAGCGGTTTTTGTTTTAGTTTGCATTATTGACCCTTAACACTACTAATGAGATAATAATTAAGAAATAGTGTTGATTGTCACACAAAAATAACCTGTATGTTGGAAACAGCCAGGTAGAGGCCTTGCATATGCAGAATAATCTACAAGAAAAAATGAGTGGCAAATGTTGCCTGCTTTTAGATTCATCACAACCTTGCTGCTTAAATTGCCCCAGCTGTTAATGCTGGAACCATTACAGTAATGGACTCAGCAAATGAAGGAGAACCAAGACACACACACTTTATTACCAGAGGGGTAATTTTCTCTTCATCTGTAATAGCAGCAGTGCCTAGTATTGATCAGGCCATCAAGATACTAATCCTCTGTAAAATTACTTGTTATAACTGAAAATGTGTTAATCCAAATCAGTCTGTGTCCTGACTTTCTACTTACTATTGAATACAGACTATTAGATGGTTTATTTTTCATGATTTAAAGCCTTTACATT